AGGCTTTTTAGTTTTTTCCAGCATGCCTGAGCACAGGTGCTTCAGCTGGCCCTGGCACAGCTTGTCGTAGTGCCAAGAGGGTGTTGGGGTCCAGAGGCTGGAGCAGACCCTGCTCACCAGGGTCGTGTTTCCCAAGGGGAGGTGTTCTCTCTCGTTGTTTTTGTCCTTGCCCCACCTCGGTGCTCCCTCCCGTGACACGCAGAGCCCACGGGGCTGTGGTACCCAGCCCGCAGCTGCACCTGGGCCGGCGGGGAGGCTGCCTGCACGGATGTAAAACACGGGCTGCTGTCACACACCGCTGGCTCCCCCGGCAGAGGAGGCGGCGGGGCGGGGCACAGGGGCACCGTGCCTTGCCTGGCTCCTCTCAAAGTGCCCAGCACACGGTAAGCTCCGGGGAACGAGGGATGCGACACGGCAGCACGTGGCAGCTCCTGCAGAAGGAGCCTGTGGCAAAGGAAACGTGGCCCAGCACGGGCTGGGAGCCCATGCTGCTCAGCTGCCAAGGCGTCTGAGCAAGTCACATCACTCCAGAGTCCCCCGTGCCCGACCTCTCTTGCAGGTCGGTTCTTCACAGCCAAGACAGCCCCTCCTGCACAGAGCTGACCCGAGGGGATGCCTTCCTGCCTGGCATCGCCGTGCCGTATTAATATTTAACAGCGAGGAACAGATCCAGAGACTTTGATTTCCCCGCTGGCCAATTCAAGGATAATTGAACTGTGCAGGGAATTTCAGCATTTCAGAGGGTGGTTTCGTTCCAGTTCACACCAAAACCTAACCATGCCGCAATGCCTTCTGAGAAGGATTGCAGCCAGTTTCAGGCAGCCTCCCTGCAGTGGAGCCAGGCATGTGAGCAGCACAAAACCAGCTGATCTCAGGAGGTGCCCAACCAGCAGGCCCCACTAAACCCTCCCCCAAAGAACTTGGGTAAAAGTCAAACTCCGCTAAAGAAGAAAAAAATAGTTTTCTTCGGAATTCCACCTTTTTTTTCGGTTTCCACTCAATTCCAATTTGCAACTCCAGAGTAATGTCAATTTGCCCTCCTTACACACCCCCAGTGGAGGCAGATCCTGCTGTAGAAGCAGAGCAAGCGAGGCACAGTGAATTTTCACTCGAGGCACAGTGAATTTTCACTTGCGTGCCCAGGGTGATGCAAGAAATCAGCCACAGAAGTGAAACGAATCCAGTGGTTTTGGCTCCTGCCTCTGGGCTGTACCAGCTCTTGCCTTCTCTTGCATATAAATCACTTTTCCCCACCAGGGAAGGACAGCTGGCCACTGAATGGAAAGTGGCCGTGGTTCAGCGGCCCACAGCAACACTGCACACCGGCTTAGGATGGGGAGTGGAGAACACCCAGAGTGCAGAGGGGACTGCCAGGGGATCTGGGCCAGCTGAATAGAAACAGAGCAGCTGGAAACCAGCCAGGGCTCCTGCAAAATCAAGACAAGTTAAAAACCCCACATGAGGAAGGCTCTTCTTTGCTTTTGGCAGCAGAGCAGAGCTGACCTCTGCCACAGCTCTGGCAGTCAGCTCCAGGCAGCAGAGCAGGAGTCCCTTCTTGTGCACCACTGCTGTGAACAGTGGTCATGATGAGAGCAACCAAGGAGCTCTTGCAGCTTGAGCACAGCTGCTAAGCACCAGTGCTGACCTAAGCCAGCCACTCCCTTCAAACTACAGGTCTTGGCAAGCAGGACATCCAGTTCTAACGAGTTCCAAAAGCAAATATCAGAGGTGGCCTTGAATCTAAAACTCTAGCACCAGTTTCAAGGTTTGGAAGGGACAGATACATCCCCAGGGTTGGATTTATCTCTGATCTTTATTCCAGGAACAGTGAGATCTTTTACTACAGGTGCCATTTCAGTGTGCAGACTTTCTCTCCCATTGGTATAGACTGAACATACAATGTTTTATCATGCTTAAAAGTTGGTCTGATTTAACTGCTGGTGCAGCAGAGTTAGTCTTAGAAAACCTGGCACAGCAGAGAGCTGTAATCCCACCAGGTAATGCCAAGCAAACTGATTTGTGCCGAATCTCTCACAGATCACCTCTGTGAGCTGTTCAGCTAGCACGCTGAGGATGCAAAATCTCCTTCAAGGGACTGGATTGAAAATGAAATCCTGTGGGTCAACCTGCCATAGCAGAGGAGACCATATTACAACCTCATTTAGTTCCATTCCCCCCAAAAAAGCACTGTGAAGCCAAAGCTTACACCAGTGCAAGTGGTATGAGCTCTTCTATACTAATTAAACTGCTTTTATTCTGATTTTGCTGACCTAACTGACAGAGACACATCCACAAACTGAAACAGTCAAACCAGCAAAGCTCACAGGTACTTTCACCACAGAGAGGGGGATTCCTCTTTGAAAATCTCCACAGGGATAGGGAACTGAAGCAAGAGAGAAGAGAAAGCAAGTAACTTCAAAATGTTTCGGTTAGTTTAGATTTCAGTCAGCTTGGCAAGCTCTTTCAGGAGGTTTGAACACAACAGAACCTGAGTAACTAGCCTTAACTCAGCTTCAGGCCTTCCACGCCTCTGATCCCAATTTTCACAAGACCTTTATCAAACATTAGCCCTGGCTACTCCATTCAGATGAAAGATATCCTCAGTTGCCTTGTCTCCTCTGGTAGTAAGGGCAGTGTTATGGCCTGTCTAAACTAATAGCTGACAGCTCCTAGAGGTATTTACTTAGTTGAAGATGTAGCTTCAGATGTGTCCCAACTACTTTGGGTTGTAAAACATGATGGACCTGAGACACAGTGTCATATTCTTAGATACGCTCCGCTTCCCCTGCCAGTTCTAGTAAATACTTTCTCCTAAGAGTAAGAAAAATATTTGCCCCAAGGTGAAGCAAGATGCTGCTCTTAAGGAACTAGATTTTATTATGTACCAGCTGAGATTCAACCACCTGTAGGAAGCAAAACCAGCATCTTTCTTCTTTGAAAGTAGTAGAAGGAAAGAAATACCACATCTGAAACATAACAGTGGAAAAAAACCCTGCTTGAAGGTGCAGGACTGGACAGTAGCACATGTGGGTTACTCCAAAGCATTCTGGGTGGACCAAAAAGAAGTTTCATTTTCACTAGTTAAAAAAAGCACAGTGAAATTACTCTTGAGGCCAAAGGGATTTAACCTGAGTCCATCTGTTATTTGAGTGAATTGGAGAGCAACCTAGGATATGGAAAAGTCTCCTTGCCTTATAGGAGTTGCAGAGGACACAAAAGAGTGGCTCATCTTACGCCACTTCCTTTCCTCCCACAGACTGCACCTGCACATCGAGAGCAAATTGAAACCAGCCTATTCTAAGCCATGGTCTCCTTTATTTTGAGGGACTCAAAGCAAGAGCAGGGCTGAGACAGCATAACCAACACAGAAACTTGTTTCTCAGCATGATTTTCCCCTCTCTGGTGGCCAAGTCCTGGTTAGTACCTTCAGGATGGCAAAGCTAGCCGAAAGTAGGGCATGCCCATTAAGCTTCCAATCCTCCTTACACAGCCATGACAGTTTGCACATGTCTTTCTCCTTTGGGTTTTAGCCAGAGTCCAGCCCTTTTGGGCATCATAACACAGCTGAATGGTTTAGCTCCTTTTGTTTCAGCTGACAAACACCCTAGCCCTCCCCCATCAGCAACAATACAACTGGAGCTGGGATTTGTGTGTCCTCTGAGCAAGGATACAGGCTTTGTGCCTTGCTGAGCTGTCTTTGCAAGGACTGCCAACACTCACAGCTGATTAAGCCTGCAGTGCTGCTTTCTGCTTTTCCTGCTCACAGACAGATGTCAGAAACAAGCTAACCGAAACAGTGCACACAGCTAGAGCTCTGCACCTAGGAACATTAAAGCAGACTATTAGGGATTAGATAAATTAAACCAGAGGGGAGCTTAACACATTCTCTCTAGGCTTAATTTCTGGGTAAGAAACGTCCCAGCATTTCCGAAAGCACTGTATTCTGGCAGGTGGCTCAACTCAATGAACAGAAAGGGCTGTATTTGAAAAGCTTTTGCCACCACCACATGGTTGAAGCCACGAGTGCAGCAAGACAACTAAGTGGGAGTTGGAGCTACCAGAAAGGACCAGCCTGCCAGGGAAAGCATTTGCAGGGGTTAGAGCCCATGTCACATGGCTAATAAAGAGCATACAACTATTACATATCACTTGTTTTATTAAATTAGAACTCTCAAACCTCAGTGACTTGCAGTAAGCACAAGGCACAACTTACAGCTGGTCAGAACCTGTTAGTAAAGGGATTATACACAGCATATGCCAAACCAGCTGAGACAACCTATTTTCTGTGTGCTGCTGTGGTTCTGGCTGCTGGGTTTCACCTCTGGTCAGCCCCAGAGGCTGCACTACTGGGGCTCTCTTTGGGCTTGACAGGTGGAGTCTTTTTCTTTGAGGATCTAAAAGAAAGCTAAAGTGCTAGATTGTTTATCTTTAGTCCCTTCCTTCCCAATTAGGGACAGACATGGAAATAGTGAGTCCTTTGCTGGGCAGATGCTCACACAGCTGGATCATTAATTGGCAAGTGCAGTCTATCTAGAAGCTGCAGGCCAGCCTCCCTTCCCCATTCTTCTCTTGGTGGACAGACAAAACCTGGCAGCAAGATTTCACATTAGACTAAGGTGCTGCATTTCAATTGAAAGAAGGAGCCTGCTGCCTCTTCTCTGGTGCTTTGGAGACAGTAGCCTGTTCTTCTAATATTCTCTCAGAAAAACATGTAGCTCCTGGCCACTGGCCAAGTGGAAAAAACTCAAACTTGATCATGAAATGGGATTCAGATGTAATAATGGATCAGAATCCCCAATTCAAACTGCCCTCCCTATCTGTTATCCATGGAACAGGAATCAAACTTTTATTGAGAGGTAAGCAACTAGGAACAGTTCTGGATGAGTGGTCATGACAAGTCACTCAAAAAAAGCTTCCCAATGTGATTCCAACTGCAGCAGCTTGAATGCCTGAAGTGAAAAAAAACCTGATGAATGTGTGTGAAATATCACAATGAGAAGCTAATCATCATCAGACTTCCTCATCAGCGAGACAAAGGACAAGGCAGAAACTCCCGGTATGTGACCAGCACAGATCCCTAACATCCGCACAAGTCGTTGAGCAGTAGCAGCTCGAATGCCTTCCAACTGGAAACAAAATGGAGACATTATTTAATCAATACAAAAGAAGAAAAGCAACGGTAAGCTTTGATAAAAGAAAGAACCAGAGCAGGCATCAAGTGGCTAGCTGCAGAAAACCCCAAACAGGCCCATTTACTTCCCTAACGTTAAGGAAGGTACAGTGTTGCCAGGTAGAAGTGCTGAAGGGCTTGCCAAAGGCACAGATTCTACCTGCTGGTAGGGAAACAGTCTGTGAGCATGCAGGGACAAGTACACAGAAAAGTGAAGTGTGCTGCTGCTGAATGCCAAACTCTCCCTCCAGCTTTTTAGACCATGCAGGTAATTGGAAAGAGTGGCATATCAGATGGCAAAATCGTCAGAGAAGCCACGAAGTTTGGCTGACACAAAACATTACATGGGCAAGGGGGTCACATGGCAAATTACAGCTCAGTGGCTCCCAGGAAGAGAAAATGCAGCAAGGAACAAGTGTACCAATGCTTTGCATATCAGAGATGGTTTTTGTTAGCTTAGGCTTGGCTTCGTGAAGTTTTGAAGTTGCACAGGAAGGACCAGATTACTAGAAGACTCATTTCAAGGACAGGCAGACTCCTGTACCTCTACTGTTCTTGTAGACAGAGTCTGGTCTCTGACACTTATGAAGGCCAGCAGCATATGTATTTATTGTTACATGTATTTATTGCTAATATAATGTTTCTAACAATCCAGTTTCTAACAATCACAGAGCAGTGGAATTCAGAAATCCCTTGAGATGTCAAATAAGCACCTTACCTCCAGCTCACAGAATAGCACAGGGCTGCAGTAGGTTTCTCCTAATTTACAGACAGCATTCGTCTCAATGCTGCAAGCATTCACCCTGCCAACTAAAAAAAACATTTTCCCACATTACAAGCCTCATAATCAGCAAAGAAAAGTTTTAGGAAATTCCACATCCATAGAACAATCCAGAGCTGAGGATTGGATTGAGCTAATTTTGAGAGCATAATAGAAGGTAAGGCAACAGTGAGCAGCACAAACAGAATGGTACAAGATTTGAAATGGAATTAGCACAGAAGTCTTTCATAATACTAACAGCAGGAATAGTACCACATTATTCTTCTTGTAACATTAACACTCTGCATAAGGGATCAGCACACCATCAGCTTCCACTCACTCACAAAAAAGTCCTCCTGACTCATTTGGTATCACAGAGTGGTCTGGTCTCCAAGGAATTCACTTCAGCAAGAGAGCCACAATACAAGACAATGCTAAGACTGCTCTACTTCAGAATTAGGCCTCCTGACCCCCAAACTCCAGGGACACAGCACCTATATTCCAACACTGAGCAGTACAGTCTGGCCCCTCCAGTTCCTCAGAGCTGAAGCAGAGAGGGTGCACAGGAAAGCACAGGGAGACAGAAAGATTAGAGGCACAACACGGCCTCAGTACACAGCAGGGATTCTAGTCTTGTATTAAGACTATACTTGATAGTTTTGTAGCTCATCCATTTAGATTCACTTTATTACCACAGTATCATATGCTTCTCACTGCTCATTAGGATTATCATTAAGACAGATCTGCAAGAGGAGATAGAACAGACTTCTGGAGTGCCACACACAAACACACACACACACACACAAAAAAAAAACCAGTAACATAAATAATATTCAGAGATTAGGGACAGAGAAGAGAGATCTGACTGACAACAATAAAAAGGAGAGAGCAAATGAGCATGAGAGAACCGTGTTTTATCTGGGAAAATAATAACAAAGGCAGAGGAGTTCAGAAATAATTTAAACAAAGTTGCAACAAAACCACTGGTTTCCTTTAGTTTGTTTCAAGTTAAGTCAGTGCCCTGTTTTAAGAAAACCAACAGAGCTGTGCTGCTTGAAGAGGAGGAAGAGGTGCCATACGTACCCCCGGTGACAAGAAAGCACACTTTCCCCAGGAAGAAGCTGGCATCCACATGAGCCAGGGAAGTTTCAACATTCTTCAAGCTGTCAGAAAAGTACAGGCAATCCAGTTGGACAGGGAGGTTAAATCAGTGCAGCATAAGGATAACAGGAATAATTTTCAGAAGCACAATTAGAAAAACAATGATGTTAACATCTGCTGATTTGTGAGCTCGCAAAGTTCTGCTTTATGCTAAAAGCATGACATCAGAGACCTCTGTAATACCCACAGCTGTTTAATAACCCATAACATATCCTTTCTACTCAAGACTCAACAGTTAGAGTTAGTTTGAACAGTGTCCTCCATGATTTACAGACACTAAGCATCTGAATTCATTAATATCCAATGAAACTTCAGCACCACTTTGGCTCTTTCAGGAAGCGCTTGCCCACACATTTCTGCAGCACCATCTGTGCTCTAAGTATGCAGCTGGGCCTGTCATTTTTGGTAAATGAGAGCCCAGGATCATCAGTCACAAGTTAAGTAAGCAATAAAATGCTGACTTCTGTGCCATAGCAAGTCTTTACTTGTGGCCTGGGGAAACAAGTATCATTTCTACAAAGTTGAGCACAAGATGATAGAAAAAGGGATCAATCCCTGCAGACCTTTCTCTTTTGCCTAGAGATATCCATAGTGCTGATCCCACTTGACCAGGAGTGTCAGTGAACTGAGGACACAGACACAGCCACTTGCTTGTTGCTGGGCAGCACTGCCCAGTGCACATTAGACTTCTGCATATTATAGAAGTTCACAGCACCACCAGCACCTCCATCTACTTCTACAGACAGCATCTTTCCAAAGCTCAGTTTGTACTGTCACACATCCAGATCCAGAAATAAATTCTGCCTTCTCTGCTATGGCAACTTAATGCACAACAGGCATGTTATTGGACAGAGCAGTTCAGTCCTAATCCACTGCTGGAGGCCAGAAAGCCACTGTATACATTACTGAGTTCTTCCACCACAGCAAATCTTGGGTTTGAAACCCACTATTCAGCAATTCCAATGCAGTAAAAATGCAGATTTAGCCATCAAAACAAGAAAGAATATTAGTCCCCCCTCTCATCTTTTTGCCCTTCTCTTACCTGTACTTGCTCTTGATGTCAATCATAAACACAACCAGATCTATCCTGGGTCGAAGATGATCCCTCTCTGAAGGTAAGGGGAGGGATGTAGCAAGGTGACTGCAAGATAACAAATTTGCCAGTGTAACCAACTAGCTTGGCAAGACAGTACCACTCACCCATAATCAAACAACCTCTGCAGTTCACCCTGTAGCAAGTTACCAGGAAGCCTGCTAATTACTGAATCCGTGGGCACTGAAGAGGCACTGTGATTATTTAAGTGGTACTCTCATATCTTAGGCCCACTCACAGTTGCTGACAGGCACAATGGTAATTGCTAGACAAGGCTGGTTATAATGGGACGCTTATTAGAGCATAACAAGACTCACAGAAACATTTTCTCCATGCAGATCTCTATGGCAAGTCATTTTGTTTAATTGTTACAAAGAATCCTTTCTAACAAAGCAAACCTCAATTCTTTACTGGAATATTTTGCTGCCAGGTTTCAGTTAAAATGCATCAATGTTTTTCTGTCACATCCCAGAGATACTGCTCATATGCTCACACAGGAGAGGCAATATTTCCAGGTACAGAATAACCTTAAACCACAAATCTGTCACTAGAGCAGCTTTATAGATGAAGTTATAACTCAAAAAGAGCTTCTATTGTACCATTAACCTCCCTTTTAACCCTTTTGCTATGTCAGAAGCTACTAGGTTAGTTCAGGCATCCTTCTACACAGTACTACAACTGCTAATTAGAGCTAATAAGTGTGGGGATTTTTGCATCTCTGCCCACTAAAAAAGCCAAACAACCACAAACAACTAACAACAAAAAACAAACAAGCATACCAACCAACCAACAACTCTACCAAAAAAAGGTTTCAGCAGTTCATAACTGGATCTTCCACAGAGAAGAACATTATCAGCACTGCATTTTTGGAAGATCACCTTAATTTAAACTGGGCAAACAAACATCCCAGAAGTTCAGTCACTCTCACAACCCACTTCCTCTCTGGAAGCCAACGGAGAAACATTGATTCTGGTCTTCTTCAGGAACATTACTTCTAGCAATTCAGTCTCAAGGACTTTAAAGTTTTCTCCAGCAGCCGCAGACCATGGCACACATTCCCTTCTATTAATCCTACCTAGTTTGTAATTTTGTTTGCTAGTCTCCAAATAAAGGAGTTTTGTTTCTTCTATTTATGGGAGATATGATTTAACAAAAACATTCTGAAACTAACACAAGAGATGAGCAAAGTGAGCTTGAAAGACACACTGCTTATTAATTGAAACACAAAGCAGATTATTAATTTAAGGTGAAATTTAGGGAGACTCTTTGATGAAAGTATCAGATCTCCTTGGGGGAGAAGATAAAAGTGACCCAGAAAAGCACTGCATTGTTTGGAATTCTGTTATATTTAAACCAACATGACTAGATGATGACAGCAGTCTCCAGATATGCACTGCAGAAGCCTTTCCCCCCCCACCCAGCAATAAGAGACACAAAGAACCCAAGCCCTGTAACTCTTCACCCAACAGCTGTACCTCACAGGTAGAGCTGTCAGATTAGATACTGTATTTGTTTGTAATGTTTACAATCCCAAAGCAACTCAGTGGGGGAAGAACCCCACCGGCTTTGCTTTCCTAGCAATATTTACACAGGGCTGTACCTTGCTCTGTAGCATGAGCACACGATTCTATGCCTTTGGGTAGTTACCCAGCTGTAGTACCAGCAGCCATCTAGTTATGGCACTCCACACAGCTCAGCAGAGGCTGCAGGTTTCACAAAGAAAATGGGGTAATTAGTTTACTATTAGTTAGCACAAACATCCAAGATGCCACAATCAGAGCACTACAGTCACTCTAATTAGCCAGCAGAACATTAGCCTGGATTGCTTTTACTGCATAGCCATGGATTACAGCAGAGAAATAACACAAACACCTTCTGAAGAGCTGACTAAATTCATTTGGTCTTGGTAAAAGAGCTGTCAAGGACATTTTATCGTAAAAAGTTAGTTAATCAAGCTTTTAAGACAGGACATGTCATGCGGCTAAAGCTGAAATTTCAAGTGCATCTTAATAGCTTGAGGAGGAAACGCACATGTGTGCATACAAACCAGAAAACAGCTACAAAGAACATCCAAAGCAATGGACATCTTTCAGAAACACTTGTTCTCCTGCAAGTACTTGCAAGCGTTGTACCTGTCCCATTTTGTCCCAGGATGTGTAATTTCTGTCACAGGCAGGGGAAAAAAATGTGTTGCTCTCACACCTTTCCAATTTAGTAATTAAACATCTGTGCAACATGCAAAAGGCAAGGGTATGTGCACTGTGAACCTGAACGTGGGAAATGCTTCCCCCCGCCCCCCTTTCCGTTTCCAAGCATGCCCAAAGTGCCTGCCCTGAGGAAAGAGGGGTCTGCCCGCCGCAGATGCGCTCACATCTGGGCACTGGTGCTCTCTAGCGTTCGCAAGAGCGAAGTCTCTCTCTGAACCGTGTGCTCTACAGCTCCGACTCCTGCCACGGGGACGGAACCCACGCTTTTAACCAATTTCGGTGCATCGGGAATCTGAAGCGGAAGTTTTCCGTGAATTCGCGTCACAGCCGCTGGTTTGCGCCTCTTGGACCAGGTGACAGCGGGTCCCGTAGGGACCCGGGGCCGCAGGCGGCGCGTCCCGCTCGCCAGCACTCACATGCTGATGTTGAAGTCCTTCTTCTCCTGCAGGATCGCCTCCGCCAGCTGCCGCTGCAGCGCCTCGTCCGAGCCCACGAGCTGCGGGCACAGCGAGAGCACACTGCACACCGGGCCCGGACAGCCAACCCCCGCGCGGGGCCGGGACGGGCCGGGCCCGACACAGCAGGGCCACGGGACGGGCGGGCGCCCACAGCGGGGCCGCGCCGGGGAAAGGGAAGGACAAGGGACGGCGGGGCCACCGCCGGGCCTACCAGGAGGACGCCGGAGTTGAGCTTCGGGAGTTTGTCGAAGGGCCGCAGCACCGCCATGCCCGCGGGAGACGGCGCTACCCGCCCGCCGGAATTCGAACGGCGGCCGCGCTCCGCCTTGCGCCGACGTCGAGCGGCGGGGAGGGGCGGGGCCTGCAGGGCGGGCGCGGTTACCGGCGGGCGGCAGGGGGCGCTGCGGGGCTGGCGGCGATCGCCTCACGGGCTGTCCTGGCTGGGCAGGGACACGCGGGGATCGTCTCGTCCCGCTCCTGGCCCTGCACAGGGGTCACACCACGGGCCCAGGAGCCCCAGCGGTCGCAGCATGTGCCTGACAGCGTCGTCCGAATGCTTCTTGAATTCTGTCAGGCTGGATGCTGTGACCACTTCCCTGGGAGCCTGTTGCTGTGCACGACCACCGTCGGGGTGAAGAAACTTTTTCGAATATCCAACCTAAATCTCCCCTGACACTGCTTCAGACCATTGTCCTGGGTCTTTGCATTGGTTGCCAGAGAGCCCAGTGCCTGCCCATGCACTTTCCCTCACGAGGAGGTTGTGGACTGCAGTGATGCAGGGGTACAGCGTAGGGCCCCTCTGGGCACCACAGGGTCTGACAGACCACCATAAAACCCTGCGAAGCAGCACTATTCCTGTGGCATCCAGATATCCCAGGGATCAGCTGGGCCTGAGGCACCCACAGGCAATACTGGAGGGATGCTGAGGGGAGGACACTGGCCTTGCCTTGGTGGTGCAGGGGGATCATGAACAGCCTTTAGCTTCTGAGAAGCAGAGCCCTTATTTCCAGGGGTGTGCTGCTCCCTGGCCCTTGCCATGAGCTGTTGCCCCTTTGTTCACTCAAGACTGAAAAAAAAAACAAACCAAACAAAACACAGCAGAGACTTCCATAAAATTCCACTGCCTCCTTACATTGCAATTTATAATGTGAACTAATACATGGAATCATAGAATCATTAGATTGAGAAGACTTCTTAGATCATCAAGTCCAACCATTAACCCAACCCTGTCATGTTCAAAACAGCCATGTACCCACGTGACACAGCTTTTCAAACACTTCAGGGATAGTAACTCCAACACACACTTGGGCATCTTGTTCCACTTCCTGACACCAACAGTGCAGTAATGTTTCCTAAAATCCAGTGGAAACCACCCCTGGAGCAACTTCTCCTACTGCTTGTTACCTGGGAACAGAGACCAACCCTCACCTGGCTACAGCCTCCCTTCAGGGAGCTGTGGAGGGCAATAAGGCCTCCCCTGAGCCTCATTTTTCCAGACTGAACAACCCCAGCTCCCTCAGCTGCTCCTCATAACACTTGTGCTCTGGACACTTCATCAGCTCCTTCTCTGGCCTTCTCTGGACATGCTCCAGCACCCCAATGTCTTTCTTGTAGTGAGGGCCCCAAAACTGAATACAGGATTTGAGCTGTGGCCTCAGCAGTACCAAGTATGAGGGAAAAATGTTAACATAGTTAATACACTTCCATACCACAAAGATAACATAGCTAGGGAAGAGAATTTCCCTAACGCTGTGTGGCAGTAGCAACTGGCTTTGCACACTGAATTATTCTGTGTGAGGTTTTGCAGCAGCTCCAGCAGGCTTGACCTCCATCCTGCCTCTTCCTGAGTGCCTTCCCCCTCACCCCCAGTCTGGTCAGCCTCTCCCCAGCCCAGTGCTCCCCTGTCTGTGATACAGGCAGGAAGGGGCCTGGGCAGAAGCACTGCAGTAACAGAGATAGGCTCAGTTTTTCTCATTCTGAGGTCAGAGCAGTACATCACACTGCAACAGAGGATGACATGCAGTTGTAAAACCTCAGAGGTCCAGTGTACCTCAGTGGCCTGTGGTCCACCTTGCTGCATCTCCTGATCTCTGCCTCAACCCTGAGTTTGGCTCCACCTTGGTGTGGAAGGAGGTCCAGAACTCATCCTGCTGCCTGCTGGTGCTGGCTCTCCCTGCCCTTTCAACCAGGGTACCTCCAAATGGCAGGAGATGTACCAGGGGAGAAAGAAGGTTGCAGGAGAATGAAGACACATCTGCCACTCTGCAACAGTCTGGAGAGGGGAGGCAAAGGGGAGAGAGACAGGGTTAATGAAAGCTGACGTCACATGGCCACTGTGGCGTTTTTGATCTTGACAAAGGCAGACGGTTTCCCTCATTGCCAGCATGAGACAAATTACAGGTGAAGCAGAAGAGATTACAAGATATTTCTGGCTGTTTTTGAGTTTGGTGGGGGGAAGGGAGTATGAATTCAGGGCAGACGTGTCCTAAAGATGGGAGACAAGCAGATGAAAGGCTGGGGGGATGTAGGGAGCAAATAGAACAATGTTCCTTTTGGGCTGCTGCAGGTGTGGAAATATGGTAAAAGCTCTGGCACCCACCTAAAAGGTGTTTGTCATCTTTCTGCCCTCTGTTACCTATTCTCTGGCCCCCGTGAAGGACCTGGGTGGCTCTAGGGTCTGGTCAGGGACATGCTTGCTGTGCCTTGCTGCTGCAGGTTTCCATCTTTTCACCATGCTGGTGTCCATTGATATTCAGCAGATCCAGATGAGCTACCACTCATCCCACAGTTAGAAAATTATTTTTCATGGTAAAGGACATTGTAAGGAAGTGGAGACTGGTCTGGCACTGTGCCTGCAGCTCTTGCCTAGGTCTGTAGGTTGGCAAGGAGAGGAGGGGAGAGGGATGAGATGTGGCTGGTGTTGGAAGCCAGGGTGTATTTTTCATATCCCCGAGTAACTGTGTCAGGTTGTTTCACCTCTTGCTGCCCCATTTCCAGTTGCAAAGTGGGAGTAATGAGTTGATCTCTGAGTGGTGCAGGAGAGCACAGATGGGTGTCAGTACACTGGCCCAGAGTGTAAGCAGAAGGGACAAGAGCAGGGCATGATATGGAAGGAGAGAGCTCCTGATTTTACTCTGTGGGCCACTGAACATTGCTCTGGTAGCACAAACCATTCCACAAATGGGTAGAAGTGTATTGCAGTCAACATGAAGATGTTCTGACGCTGCCCAAAAAACACAATTGACATAAGCAAGTCTTGGCCTGGCCATCATGAGTGCTCCCTTGGAATGGGGCAGCTGCTCCTGCAGCAGGACTGCACCAGCCAGTACAAAAAATGTTTAAAAGCACACCTCATCCTCATGCATCCATGGCCAATTTGCTGTATGATTCATCCAGTGGCTGCATCTCAACATATTTTCTCTCTGATTTCTCTCTTGGTTCTCTCTAGCAGCCAGAGGAGCAAAGGAGACGGGCTTTGGAGACGGTCTAGAGAGGAGCACTGACCCCAGCATGGTCCCAGCTGTCTCAGTGACAGCTCCCAGCTCCTGACAGCCCATTCAGGAGGAGCTCCATGAGATGTCACCCTCTCATGCATTACTGGCTCCAGGCTGACTTCTCACTGTCCCTCCTGGGAAGCCTGCAAAATAGAGCTCGTGTGTATTTGATTGCACTTGTTTTCTCACTAATAGACAAAAATTATATCATTTGCAGCAAGTGCAGATTATTAGAGAAATTAATGACATTTTCACATATGTTGCTGGCAACTTCTGCTTCCTTTGGCAAAGGCTCTTCACAGCTATATTTAGACCCAAAGTAAGTCAGCTTTTTTCATTCTGCTGTTTAATTTAACTCACTATACACATTTCCTTCATTTTTGATCAGCTCAGCAAAGCTTCTCTAATGTTGGTTTTTGGTTTTTTTTTAAGTTGCAGTAGCACCAGAAAATGGGTTAGTCTGCTTTCCCACCAGACTATCCCCAACTGATGCCCTGCCATGCATCCTGTGTGCCTTCTGCATCCTGTAGCAGCTCCCTCATCTCCTGCAGCTGAGCAGGGAAGCATTTCTGTGACCCTTGCTGAAGTTTTGTCCTCTACTGCAGGCCTTGGGGAAGACAAGTTTGATAAACTCCATCTTCTCCCATGCTTCTACCTACATTGGGAGAGTAATATTGGGAGATGGGTGTTGCTTTAAAGACATCGACCTGGGTCTGGTCATCTCAGAAGATGCTGATAAAAGGCACTAAAGAACTTTCTTTGTTAAGAAAGACTGAAATAACACTTAACCCGGCCTGGGATTAAGCTGAGCTCAGAACATTGTTTGTGCTGTGATTTATGGACGTGCTACAAGCAGGAAGTATGTGCCTGACCATCTCCTTTTTTTCCAGCCAAGGCTTTTGTCTATGGTTTTGAGATGGGTTTCATGATTTCTGCTCTGGCTGGGTGGCCCTCTCACATCAAACCTGACCCCACGTTTGCCTTCATCATGCAGGTGAATTTGTGGTTACCCAGAGATATGGAGGGAGTCAGAGGCTTGGTGATAGGCAGGTGTCCTGGGATGAATGGCTTTGAGGGGCTCAGTGTGTGCACAGACATTCAGAAGCTTCTTGATAGCCAGGTGAAGGGGGCTGGAAGGCCCCAAGGCAGCAGGCAGAATGATATGCACAAGCTTATGCCTGGAGGACCTGAGTGGCACACAGCAGCCTTATCTGAGGTGGAAGCTGAACTGCAGCTGAAGTGTTTCCACGCAGATTGAGCTGCACTGGCACATCAATGCCTGGAGCTGTCTCGCAGCTTTAGCTCTTGTTGGAAACCGAAGGCTGTGACAGCACCTGAGAGCCCAGTCACAGGCAGCAAGCAGCTGCATCAGAGGCACGGGGTCTTCAAGCATGTCCCAGCTCCAGCAGCACAAAGCCCTGTGGGTTTTTCTTGCTGTGTCCAAGGGTGCTTCAGACTCATCTGAGGGGATTCCTGCTTGAAGCAAGAGAGGCTGCCACATCATGACCTTGCTCACTGCTGTGGTGGTGTCTGCAGAATGACGTGATCACCATTCCTTGTCACGTCCTCCCAGTGTTTGCGTGGCAGGGAAGTGAGGCAGAGGAAAAAATGATCTCGTGAGTCAAAACTATTGCTGTTCTGGGGTTTTGGATGCATGAGCAGCATGCTGGCATTAAGCCTGACCTTAAATCTGGGAACAAGCTGAAGACTGGCAGATACACACTGGCTCTGATGTGCCCCTGAGGTGACCTAGAACAGAGACTCGGGACAGTTG